GGGGTGCGGGGGGTGGGTGTGAGGTGTACTTGTGTTCGCCTGAGTCAGTCAGTCGACGCAGACGCCCGCCCGCCGCTTGTGCATTCTGCTGCTCAGCGGTAGATCTCCCTCTCTCTGGCTTTTCTTTTCTTTTCTTTTCTCCCTTTGCCATGCCAGGGAGAAGGTAGATCTGGTTATCTGTCCCTTTTCAGGTGCCAGGTAAAAAATCGTCCGTAAAAATCCAGTTCCATTTTCCCTTTTCCCGGATCTGTTTATTTATTTATTCAGGTGATCGCATTTTCACTAACGAGGATTAGTAGTGGTGTTGGTGGCCTCATCGGGCCACAGCCACTTGCGTTATGCTGACGAGGCCCCTCACGTTGTCGGGAATTGCCGCCTAGTTTAGCACTGGTGGGTGGAGCCGTTGCCTTTGCTTGGAGGAGATATTTCTAATCCTGTGCTCCGGAATTTCGACAGTGCTCCGTAGACAAGCTTTTATCTGCCATTTGATTTTGAATCCATCAACCCAAAGAGGTCTGATATTACTAAAACCTGAACAAGATCGCTTAATTATCTCTGAACGTTTGCAAACGACACATGGCAGGTCTGTCGGTCGAGATCAGGCGACGAAGAAAGCAAGGTGCTGAAGAATAAACCAGTTCTTGCCGAAGATAACCATGGAGGCTGTAATGTTTGGTGTCGAACAATGTCAGCTGGATCAGCTCGAGCACTGGCATAAAAGCAAGCAGAGTCCAAAACCCAGCGCAAAAACTATGCCCCCACTGTTGCCGAGTCCACATGCAAGCGGGGCTTAGTTTACAAGGCAGCGGTAGGAAAGGGTGGGAGATCGGCCAAGGGACTGCTCGTTTGTTTTTGTTTCTTCCCACATCTTTTATTGCGCTTGGTCGGCCTTTCGGGCAGGGATGGCTGTCAGTCAAGGCATTGGGATTCTTATCGCCACGCATTTGTTTAACTTCCCCCCTCTCTCCTGCTTAATAAAATCCTAAACATTTCATTTCCTGTTACAAAAACACGGGGCACAGCTCATAATGTCCCGGCTCCGGCTGTCCATGCTACCTGCGCTCTCGTCTCTGCAGATACTACTATACTACTGTATTTATTTTCGCCATCCGTCCGTCGATGGAGCTTTGCTCGATGTCCACGCTGCATTTGTATTCGTATGCGATGCAGAGATGCTCGATTTGAACGGTAACAGAGAACCCTAAATGGCTAAACCCATGTTCAGAGCAGCACTGAGATCAGATCATGGCTTGAATCCATCACCACAGTGCTTATCTTTTTTCCTTTTACCCAGTTCCAAATCAAGTTTCCTTTTTTCACCTTTTTTCGAGTGACATGCATGCCAAGGAGAACATGGCATCGTACTCGATGCTGCAGCAACTCGAAGATATGCTCCGATCAACAGTGGCCCTCCTACTCTGTCACTGGTGTTCGCTGGGCTTGTTTGGCTTATAAGCCGTACTTTTTCAGTCAACGAACGGTATTTTTCTCTCACATCAAATCAGCCAATAGTACTTTCAGTCATGACTTATCAGCCAAACAAGCCAAAAGGGCGAGCTGTGCAGAATGAGCATTCGGTGCCTGTAGTCATTTCACTATCTCAGATCATCTCAAGGCCCGTCTTCCTTTCTGTCCCGTGAGCGAGCGAGCTTGGTCCTATTCAATCACCCGTCAGGGCTTGTGATGCTGATGCCTGCCAAATTTCAGGCACAGGCTGTTGGTTATTACATCACACGAGTAACATTGTATCAAGTACACATATCTTCAGTATCCATCCTTTCAGTTTCATATTATTCTTCTTCTTTCTTTCTTTCTTTCTTTCTTTTTTGTCACAGGAGATAATAGTGCAGCTTCAACCACACAGAAAAATCTTCTTCAATGCAATGCGATGTGGTTGGACGATGATATATATATGTGCATTTTCTCATTGCAGAGAGGCAGAGAGCAGTTATCACATCATGCTTGGACACATCACGTTGGCCGGTGGGTGTGGCATTAGTTTACTTCTGATCCGCAGCATCAGCTCAATTACTTTACCCGGCGGCTGCTGCCGCAGCTGCTCCTTGTTTATTAGCAAGAGATTCAAAAGGCCCAGATCGGCGATGGTGTCGCTAGAGCAGAGCCACTGTGGATTCTTTTCCGATCGATCGAGCTGCAGATGGGCTGTCCATCTCCAAACACTGAAAAGGCCACGCACTATAATTTGACTTGACGATATCATATTGCAATTGCCCGCACGGAGAAACGGAAACTGGTGCCAAAAGTCGGCACCTTTCTCAGTGGACTTCCTGCACGGCATATTCTGGTTCAACTTATCATTTGCAACTCGAGCGCTCAATCAAAAGTACCCGGTGGACCTGGACCATGCGTTCACAGAACAGAACACAACTGTCTGGGCATGGTTTGGTTTCCTGACTGATCCATGCATCCTGCTGTCTTAGCTTACAGTGGAGTATGTGCACCGTCCTTGGCAGGCTTCAAGTACAAATCCACTTCGTTTCGTTTAAAGGCTTTGTGCATCGCACGCGGTGGAGTGCAATATTCTGATTTCTTCATCTTTTGATGCATGACCAGGTGAGGTGCCTGACGAGATATTCTGATTTTGTTCTCTGAATCTCTGATTAAAGTCAATTGCGATCTTGCTGAAAGATGGTGAAAATAAAAGGCACAGCTAGCTAGCTCAGACTGCCCACTTTGCTGCACCCTGGCCTCTCGCCGTATTGCAAGGCAGGAGTATCTTTTCCCCCTTGCAAAATGCAAAATAAAAAGGAAAAAGAAATCATTGATGTCAAATCTCGATTTTTGTTCAATAATAATTTTCTGCTCTCCATGTTCGTAGCTGATTGATTTGTCCAGCAAACTTACACGGACTCTGCAAACACTTTTTTTAAAAAGAATATATATAGTCGCACTGCACGGTGCCATGTGACTCCATATCAACCTCTGTACATGAAAGGATATATTTTTCTTGAGTATTTGCGATGATAAACTATTTTATTTCATGGTGGGAATACATTTTGATCTGTCCCATGTTAAATTTTATTATATAGTGCTGACCATACGCTGTACTTTCTACTATTTGTTTACAAGCTGGAATCAGAACCAACAGTCTAGAGATCCCTAACGCTAAGCATGGCCATGCATTATTGTAAAGTGTATTTAAACTATCAACCTAAAACCAGCTAATTGGTGCAGATGATTAAGTGTACACCTGAAAAGAAACTATTTTGTTGAGAGCAGGAAAGTAATTATTTTTTCTTCTCATATTTTAGCTTTATTACTGTATCATCATGTTATTTAGGGAGGTGGAAGATAAGGACGAAGGCAGAGGAGGTAGGATAGGATCATATGGCTCTTCTCCTCCAAATTAATAAGGCACATCTATGATTCGACACATGGGGTTTGGGGAGGAAGGACCACACTGACGTTTGATTTGATATCCAGGGCCAGTCACAAAAACTACTAGTAAGAATAGTCTTATGCAAAGCTTCTTCTGAATTGATTCATGCAACTTCTGTTCAAACTAAAAACGGAAGCTTTTTTTTCCCCACTTTCTCATGTCAGAAACCTCTTCAGTAAATAAATCTCTGTGGGTTTCTTTCATGGAAGCGAAAGGCCACCTCTTTCCCAGTTTTCCTGCCGCTGTGGCTCTATCCCCCTCTCAAAGGGAAAGTGCGTTGCCTTTTGCAGCTTACGTGCTCTCAGCCGGGGTTGCTTCAATTCAATACTGAAGTCCAATGTAAGCAAACGAAGATGGTGGCGAATAATTATAGTAAATCAGTTAATGGTCATCAAAGGGATCCGTAATCAGGCTAAAGCGACAGTGCTAACCATTTGGCGTGTGCGAAGGGTGGTCGCCAGTGACCAATCGGCGCCAAACTTTTGCCGAGGCCGGAGGCGGCCCCCTGTGCTGTGCTGTGCTGTGCATGTCCAAAGGTGGCTCTGATCTTTATTTGGTGGTAGGCCGCACGGGCGCACGGGCTCTGCATCTGAGCTGCGCAAGGCCGACGACGCCACGGCCGTGTGTCGGGTCGGGCCGGTCGCGCGGGCGATTGGATCGCCGGACAGCGGCGGAAGCGCGTTGGCGTGGGCAAAAAAACGTGCAGGAGAGGACGGAGCCGCGGCCGGGCACCGGCGTGGATCAGAGGCGAGGCCGGCCCCCGTGCGCCGTGCACCGCCCCCGCCTGTTTCCCGCACGGGCGCGCGCCGCCGCACCCGCACGCCCGCAGGCATGAGGTCGGAGGTTCTCCAGTCTCCATCACACGCGCGCGGGCTCGCGGCTCGAGAGGGCGGTGGCACGGGCTTTCTGGGCCGGATGTGCAAGTGGGTAGCCTGTTCCCTTTGAGATACAGGCCGAGGCCTGGACTGCACCGGACAGCTTGCGGTTGCGATATGGGCCGTTTGGCTAGATGCAAGGCCGGCGCGAACGGCCTGGCTGGGTGCTTCCACGCGCCATTAGCCCGTTCGGTCGGGTTGGCGGGGTCGAAAAAGCCCGGAATAGAACCGTTGGCAAGAGGAATCCCATGTGGGGCCCGGGAGCTCACCTGGAAGACCGACAGGTGGGTCCCTAACATAGCGTTAACGCGTCCTTTGGAATCCGTGACGCGTGACCGTCACATCACGCGGCCTGGCATTTCGAGTTTTGAACACTCAGGAGCGGTTGCATATTCAATTGCGTCGACGCGAAAATAAAAAAACGAAAACACCTTCGTGGCTAAGCATTTTTTGGCTGGTCAAGTCGAGCTTGATGAACTTTGATTTGAAGCGCTGTGCATTGTGCTTAGCGACGACTCCACAGCGTTATGCAGACGATAAATATATTTTTTTCAGGAAAAAAGACCACTATAAATTCTTGCATCGTTTTTAGTCACGGCACCGTGGCAGACCCGAAATAAAATTCCACAACCGAAACCTGCAGCCCTGTCATCCCGTCCACGAAACGTACGAACTACGGACATCGACCCCATCGCCAGCGGCACCGCCCCGCCCTCGCCGGCGACATGAATCCGCCCCCAGCAGCCACGTCCACCGGCGGAGGAGGCCACGCCGCGGCAGCCCCGGAGTACGCGTCGTACCCGAGGCTCTCGCCGGAGGAGGTGGCCCCGCCTCCGCCCCCGCCTTATCACGCCGCCACCGCCGCGCCGTCCGCCTACGGAGGCAACCCCTACATCTCCTCCCCCGCCGACGGCGCCGCCACCGCTCCGAAGAGTGCGTCCCCCCCGCCCCGCGCCTTAACATCTGGCCCCGTTAGCTGCCGATTCGTCCGAAATTTGGATCGTTCCTTATTTTTTTCTTTTCTGGGATGCTCTCGTGTGGTGTGGTTTTGCAGATACGATGGACTCCGTGAAGGACGTGCTCGGCAAGATGGGGAAGAGGTTCGGCGAGGCGGCCCGCAAGACCGAGACCATCACCGGCAACTTCTGGCAGCACTGTGAGATTCCATTGCCGTCTTTCCACAAAATCGGGTTCCGAAGTTTTCGCTGTGTGAAACATCAAATTGCTAATCGTGTTGTGCATTTTCAAGTACATTTTGTTATTGTAGCATGGAATTAGGTTGTCGTTAAGCTGTACCGTTACTTAGCCACAACGAAATTGAACTGGATGGAATCCCTCTTCGTGGGCTTAGACAAAAAGAGGGCAACTAATTCGACTCAAATTTTACCTTATTTCATTAGTGTGCGCTAAATTTGGGATTTCTGGTTGGCATTGGCAGGGATTAGGATTCATTATGCTGCTTCTTTTCTAAATATATAAAAGTTTTGTTCCATTTCATTATTGTTTGATGTATTGTTTGTGGTTAGATACTACTCACTCTATTCCAAATTATAAGATGTTCTGGCTTTTCTAGTTACACTGCTTTAACTATATATCTAAGCATAGTGTATATCTAATCGCATAGCAAAATCTATGTATCTAGAAAAAACAAAATGTCTTATAATTTGTAACGGAGGGAGCACTAGATTATAGCCATGTTTCTTCAAGTCCTAACAATGTGGAGAAACTGATCAGATCTTCCTTGATTCTTTAAACAGTGAAAACTGGACCAAGCATTACTGATGCAGCAATGAGCAGGATCTCCCAGGTCACTAAAGTCATTGCAGAAGGTGGATATGATAAAATTTTCCATCAAACTTTTGAGGTCGCCCCTGGTGAAAAGCTCAAGAAGCCATATGCATGTTATTTGTCAACCTCGGCTGGTCCTGTTATGGGCGTGCTTTACCTGTCCAATGTAAAACTGGCATTCTGTAGTGATAATCCGCTTGCATACCAGGTTGGAGACAAAACTGAGTGGAGCTACTACAAGGTAATTATGTGGATTGATGTGTTTTGCTTCAGTTCAGGAAATATAAAGTTTGTTCGCGGAAATGCAATTCATACTGAAGCTATTTCATTATGATAATCAGGCTTACAGAATTATCTTGAAACAATACATCTTACTGTATTGTTTTGCTTTGAAAAAATAAAGTAGCAGAATGTGTTTAATCTGTTATCATTCTACTTATGTTGTGCTTGTGGCTTTGGTTCCTTTCTCGCCACTTGGGTGTCAGCACTATTTTCATCAGTGCACCAATATGAGATTTTTTGGCAATCTTATTTACTGGTATTACTCATTAATTCCAAAATCCATATATTTCAAAAGAGTATGCAACTTACAATTTGTCTGTCTCTGAAAATAGGTGGTCATCCCCCTTGCTCAACTGCGATCAGTTAATTCATCAACAAGCAGAACAAACGCAGCAGAGAAATACATTCAGGTGGTTTCTGTTGATAACCATGAGTTTTGGTTTATGGGCTTCGTGTACTATGACAGTGCGGTAAAGAATCTGCAGGAAGCACTTCAGGAGGCTCAGAATTTACGTGCTTAGTGATGTTCATAGATTCGAACTAGCATGTCTTATGTCTTATACATTACAGTTGTGATATACTGTTTTTTATCAGTTTCAGACTGTTGTCCAGATTTAGTTTGCATAGGTATCAGCTTCTTCTGTGATCTGTACCGACTTAAAACCGTTGTTCAATATGTGATGTGAATCCTTTTATGTTGGTTCTCTGGTATGAATTCTCTCATCTATGATGAGCCCATTTGCTTCAAGCAATGAGAATGGGAGTGCATCTTCTGAATTTTAATCCGACCACAGTCACAGATTGCCGAAGTGGAACGCACTTGATAAGTGTGGTATTCTGAGTTTTAATTTGGACTTGGGATTAGGAGATGTATTTGAATCATTGATTTATCGATTATCTATAGATCTGAGCAGCGTTTATTCTGTACTAACAAGTGTGGTATACTAACAGGTGGAGACTGTCTCTAATAAGCAATCTGTATGGACACCTAAACCTAAAATGGATAGCAAGAGACTCAAAATTAGCCTCCAACAAAGTACTTATAGGGAAAACTATTTTGAGTTGCCGATATGGGTATCCTCTCTCCTGAAAACCCATTTGCAGAAATAATTCTCTTTTAGATCCTGTTGTTGAAGAAGATGCCAAATAGATATTGAACCATTTGCCTGTAGTGCTACTCAAAGGACGAATGGGTCTTGTATTTTTGGTGTTGTCGTTGAAAATAGCCTCAAGTCCCGGTCTATAGTTGGCCTCGATTTAGGTCTAGACTGACTAGGGAGCTGGCTAGACTGTAGTGACAACCATAGGTTATTGTTGTTTGACAATTCCTCCGACTGTACCAACTGAAACAGATTTTCGAATTGTGACAGTGCATTGTGATCCTATCGTGCCTGCCCTGTGCAGCCAGGATGTCTGGTTTGAGTATATTTTGCCTCATGTAGTAACAGCTGACAGACATTAGCTGAAATGTCGAGGTATATACTGTATCTTTCTGAACATCCCCCAATGTTTGTTTTGACACAGATAAACCTGTGGTCAATATTCACTATTTCAAAACTAGTAAGAACAACCTCAAAATCTAGGGTCACTATTCACTATTTCAAAACTAGTAGAACAATCTCAAAAACTAGGAAATTGACGTGGCTAAAATTTCTTCACAATCTAAGCAAGTCAAACAGATAAAACAATGGTTGCAACTTGTTTGAATAGTGAATCACAAGTCTTCAAATCTCATAATGGAGAGGGTCTTCGAATCATTGCCGCAAGTTCAATAAAATGGGAATTGTATCACAGGTCAAACTTTCTCAAGTTTAACTAACTCTACAGAAAATATTAGCAACATTTGTATCATTAAATAAATTTATTATGAAAGTATATTCAACGATTTATCTAATAATACTAATTATGTATTATAAATATTAATATTATTTTTTATATATAATTGATCAAAGTTAACAATGTTTGACTTATCGTGAAGTGAGAATGACATTCTTTGGGGGGGGGCATATATATATATATATATATATATATAGTATATTTGGACTATAGAGATTTCATAGGATTTAATTATCAATATAGAGCCTACTTAAGTTATGTTTGGATCTATTAGTTGCTACAGTTAGCTAGTAGCTAAGGCTATCTCCAACGACATTACCCAAAATACAAGACTCATTTCACGTTTGGGTAGCGCTATAGGTAAAGGGTTCCGTACCTAATTTTGGTCTTCTCCAACAACAGGAACAAAAAGAGAACTCTTTCTGCAAATGAGTCTCCAGTGAGAGAGGATACTCATATTTGGGTTGTGACTTTGCTGTAACCCAAAATGAGTCTCACATATAGGTGCTATATTGGAGACTGATACAGTATCATTCGAGACTCATTTTAAGTATGAGTGCCCATATAGAACAACCATGGGAGACAGTCTAATAGGTTTGCTATTAGCTAGTTTGTTCAAACTAGTGAAATACTCCTAATTGTTAGTCGCTAATAATTGGCTAAACTATTAGCTGACCTGTTTAGATCAAAGACATAGTTATTAGTAGCTAACAATAGGCCCTCAAAGCACATAAATTTTATATGAATCGGTAAGAATTTCACACAAACTAGTTGAAAAATGCCAAAGAAGGGGAAAAAGCCGCATTAAAAGGGCTGTAGCAACGTTAGGTTGCGCAGGACAGCAGGAAGCTTCGCGATGCGACAGTACGCAACTGCTCAAACTGAAACAACAAAAGCATCGGGCATCGGCCACATCGACGCGTTTTTTTTTTTTTTTTGCCAACCAAAAGCATCGGGCATCGGCCACATCGACGCTGCCACCGTCACCGGCGACTCCTCCGCCGTCCGATCTCCCACGTCACCCTCCATTCCCAATTATAACGGCCCCATCAGAGCCCGGTTTCCTCTTCCCTGAAGACACCGGCGGGATTGCTTGGCGGCGGAGCGAGCAAATTTGCGTTTCTTCGTACCGCCGATCTCGAAAACTTTGGGCTCCAGTCCTCGGGGTTCGCCTCTGCTGCTTCCGCTATGGCGAACAGCTCCTATGGCTCAAGGTTCGCCCCTCTTTGTCTTTGTCTCCCGTCCTAACTTTTGATTAGTTCGCGCCGTGATGGTGATGCCCAATATCCTAGTGACCTAGTATTTCCGGTTTGGATTCTCGCGGTGCTTGGCATGGTGTGGCCTCCCTGATCTTCTCATGGGCTCTGTATGCACGATTCGTGCTGTCCGTTTTTAGTTTAGGTTGGGCTAGGTTTAGTCGATGCTCTTCTTGGTGGCCATCTAAAACGCCTCGCATTACAGTTGGTAATGTTTTTAGCTTAAGTATCTGCAGGGGAGAAGGAATTGATGTTTAGGGTTACTTGAAGGCAGATATTTGTACTCAAGCTTCAATTATTGTTGTTTCGGCCTTTTTTTCTTTCTGTGTTTTATTAGGATTTAGGACCCAAACACGGCACCAGTCTCACTAATTGATGTTGAAACTCCCAGTGACATCCTCTTGTATTTAGCTTGGTTATCCAGCGTCTTTTTCAACAGAACTGCTCTCCATCCTAACCTCTCTAAAGTTGCTAAGCGATCCCTGACATGACACCGAATCCTACAAATTAAGAAACTGTTATGTATATCAGTATATGTTGATTAGATATATGCAGTGTTTTCCCTCATTGTATTTTCCCTCATCAGTTAATTCTATTATCTACTGCATCAATTCCAAAGTTTTCATCAGATTGTTATCAGTGATGACTCTGTTCTGATTTATGCTCATCCTAAGGTCCCAATAATGTTGGAGTTTGTATGAGCTAGTGGGTCCAAGATTTCTCCCCACTTTTTATGTTCTGTGATATATTTTTGTTCTTATTGTGTACATTTATCTGAATATTTGATTCTGCAGGGAAGGGCTAACTATCAGGCCTGCTGCATCATCAAGCTCTAGTGAGATTTCGCTCCAGATTCAGATTGACCCAATCAATGCTGATTTGGATGATCATATCCTCGGACTGCGTGGACAAGTCCGCAAGCTGAGAGGAGTAAGTGTTTTAGTATGGGTTTTTTTGTGAGTAAGCTCTAGTTGAAAAGTCTGTGAATTTTTGTTCTTAAACTTTAACTGATGTGAGAGCCGGAGCAGCAGTGCACATTTGGAACACTACATATGAATATTTGACCCATGCATGATATACTTAATTCGTCTTTTTTTCTCTCTGTACCTTAGTTTGACATTGATTTGGTTTCTTCTAAGAGAAGTTATTGGTTTTATCATTGCAGGTTGCTCAAGAGATCCAACCAGAGGTCAAGTATCAAAATGATTTCATATCTCAGTTGGTAAGTTACTAATTTTCCAAATAGTTTGGGCCAAATCCTGAAGAAAACTCAATAGCTGACTGATAAAATTTCTGCATTTGTAGTTAGTTATGAGGATAATATTTTCCATTTCTGACTTCCTTCTAAGTTATATTGCCTTAGTGCACATTTAATTGCAATTGGCCACACTGACCCATATTTTCTTAGTGTTACATTTTCCCAAGTGCATTTCACCAATCTCCTCTCTCTAGTAAATTGAGCGTTCAAGGTTGATGATTATTTGCACTGTGTATGACCGTCTCAAAGCTGACAGTCTGATTTGAGCCTATTTTTATTGTTGACTATCTTTCCTTATGCAAAAGGCAAATTTTATAGGACGGCGATTAGACCTGCTATGTTGTATGGTGCAGAATGTTGGTCTACGAAAAGACGACATGTTCAATAGATAAGTGTCGCGGAAATGCGTATGTTGCGTTGGATTTGCGGTCATACAAGAAGGGATCGAGTTCGAAACGATGATATACGTGATAGATTAGGGGTAGCACCAATTGAAGAAAAGCTTGTCCAACACCGGTTGAGATGGTTTGGACATGTCCAACGGAGACCTCTAGAGGCACCGGTGCGTAGTGGAATCCTAAGCCAGGATAGTAACGTGAAGAGAGGCAGAGGAAGACCGAAGTTGACTTGAGTAGAGGCAGTAAAAGGATACTTGAAAGAATGGAATATACCCAAAGACTTAGCTTTAGATAGGAGTGCTTGGAAAACAGCTATTCACGTGCCTGAACCTTGGTTGCTTCTGCTGGATTTCAACTCTAGCCTACCCCAACTTGTTTGGGACTTAAAGGCTTTGTTGTTGTTGTTGTTGTTGTTGTTGTTGTTGTTGTTGTATCTTGTCCTTATGCAGCTATGTTATGTCCAAAAACAAAAGGAGTTCAAGGAAACATGTGTTTTAGTGTCCTATATTTTGAAATGATGAGGCCCAACGAAACGGGCTCTAGATCTCGGCGCTTGTTTGTTCGTAGGCACTGTTCACTGTCAGGAGCACCTATTCTGGTAGGAAACAGAAGCAGAGAATGGGGATTTAGAGGAGCAACTGAAGTGGAATGCTGACGAGACAGGCACACGCCTTCTGTTTGTATGCTAGAGAAACATACCTATTCAAGTGGCACGGATGAAGGCTAGAGCCACACAGGCACCTAGGATCTGGAAAAAAATGTCAATCTAAAATCAACATGGAAAATGGTTGATGAAACATTAGGTTTGGAGGTACCTACTGTTAAAAAAATAGTTGTAAAAAAAACACTACGACAAGGTCATAGTTTTGCAGATAAATCTAGAGCATGATGACTGTTAACAGTACCAGAGTTTATGGCATGATGACTGTACCTGTCATCCACGGTTGCTGACCCAATTCATGTTCTTTGTACCACGGTAACATCTCCAAATCAAAGCTCGCGGCATGGAGTGTTTGCTCTGAAAGCAGATTTGCTTGTAGATTCCCTTTGCTTAAATGGATGATGAAGCTTGGTGGTATATATGTTACGTCGAAATGGTGACATATAAGTTAAATGGTACTGCAATTTCTTTTCCAATTTCATCTGGGTGTATGCTGTATGTGTGTCATTCCGTTAGTGTTCCAATGGATGTGTATTGTTGATGTGTATCTGAAATTGGTTAATGGCGATGGTAATTCATGATCTACCTTCTGTATTTGGTACAGATAATTGGCATACGATGGTGACGTAGCTGTTTTATGGTGCTTGCATTGTTGATGAACACAGAGGACCGATGAATGTACAATGCTTTGAACAGGTGTGGTTGAAGCCTGTAATATGCATTTGATATATTATATGACTATGTCAATAGATGGCAGGTTGGAAAAAAGGAACACGTTTTTTTTTTTTTGTACAATTGCGCATGTGTTAGTGTTTGTGGTAATGGTTGACCTGCCTGGCAGAAAGGCACTGTTCTGTTTCAACCTGTGCTCCAGAACTATAGTAAGTTAGGTGTGTTCCTAGCAGGAAGGGAAGCGTTTTTTTTAAGGAAACGGAAACATTATATCTTAACTGTAGTAGTATGTGGCCACCTGAAACTATGCATGAAGATATGACCGGAGATACATCCAGTAGACGTTGCATTTGTCTCAGTACTGTCAAGAGTGGTTTGTTTGAAAACAGTACTGAGACAGAGAGGATTCATTCTGTGATAATACAAAATAATTTTGATTGACCTCAGTTGCTATCTTATTTAGTCAAGTGGAAATTTCCTAAAATAGAAAAATAGCTGAGGGGAGCGTTTGCTTTAGTCTGTAGCAGGTTATGCACTATATATAAAAGAAACAGCCAAATTTTGAACTTTTAAGGTTTGAATGAACCAAAAACCATTCAGTAAGCACATCAGTGACTTGCATTTCGAAAGGCATTACTGAATTACTCTTTCCCACTTTCTAAAATGAGGAGGAAAAAACTATTTTGCATTTTGAGATACAAATATGAATATTAGTTCAAACTAATTAGAGTAGTGGAATGGAACTGTCATTTCTTACTTCTAAATTATCATCAGAAGGGTACATAGTTTACCCTAGTTTCGTTTGCATGAGCACAGCCTAGGTAGGCAAGAGCGTGCACTTCATTCCAGAAAAGGATCGGATAAATTAAGTGGATGGTACAGTACAGGCAATGATGTTTCAGACCTTTTTTTTTCTGAAAGTAAACATCAGGAAAGCTGCGGACTTACGGTTATGCCATGACTATTCGCCATTAGGTGGATGCAGTTGGTCGCATGAGCAGCAGATATGGTCTCCCATGATTTATCCTTTGGATTTTCAACGATAAAAACACTTGACTCATGAGGCGCTGGCTGGACCACCCGGGGTTTCTCATTAAGAGGAATTTTCTCAACACTAGAATCGAGAAAAGGCAATGAACCCTGTTGCGCAGCAATGGGCCTTTTTTCTCCGACTTGCTGGCGCCACCAGGACGTCCGATCTGGACGTCAGCGTCCGGACGCTGCCCGCACAGCGAACGAACGCCTAGCTCATCGGGCTTGCGAGAGAATGCACCAGTAGTGGTTCCGCGACGTCGGCCACGTCGTCTGTGCCGCCGGCCGCTTCCCAAGTGTATCACATATGCAATATCCAATCTACTTTTAAAATATTCAGATACAATAATTGCAACATACAAAAGAAGACAGATAAAACACTTGAAATAAACGACTGAAACAATTGCAAAAACGCCTGAAAAACATTTGAAAATCATTGCGAACATATACAACATCCAGATGAAACACTTGCAAACATACTATGAAAGACTTGAAAACACTTGAAATATATGCTTGTAACATATATGTATATACAACGTCTAGATCTACTTTTGCAACATGTAGACAAAACACTTGCAACATTCATCTGGAACAGATGAAACATTTTGAGCATACACTTGAAGCATACGTATATAGCCATTACAACATGTGCAACATTTTGATCTACTTTTGCAACATCGATACACAACACTTGCAATATATCTCGAAAACATATGAAACACTTGAAACATACTATTGCAACATGCGCTTTCAGCATAGCATTTGCTTGCTGCTTGGACTAATGGAGGCTCGTCGACGTGAAGCACGACGCCGGCGCGGAGCTCGAAGTCTCGGAGTGGCATGAAGGTCGCCGGTGTGGAGCTCGTCGGCGGCACAGACCTCGTAGGGGCAGAGGCAGGCGGATGGAACACGACCACGACGGGAGGTGCGAGTCCGAGAGCGAGCTCGCGAGTGCCTAGCGCAGCACGAGCAGGCGGCGCGGGCGAGTGCGGGTCCGTCCGGACGGATAGGCGTCCTATAACAAGCGTTCCCAGTTTTTTTTGTGAGCTCATGATTCATGCCCTAAAGGCGAGCTTCCACGGCAGGAAAGCTCAACCAACTCACTGGACATGCGTTATCCTGGATTTTCAAAGATAAACGTTCAATAATCGTGTTCAACAACTATACTAGAAAATTTGATGTACTGAGCTAGCCGCCTGTGGCTAGACTTCTTTCAGACCCTCCAATTGAGTTTCAGAAACTTCGAGGCAACACGTTCAACTCATCATCAAAAGAAAAAAAACGTTCAACCGGGACAAGATTTTTTTGTGAGGAAATGCAACAAGTTAAATGCACTCTCACCGTTCATGGCAATTACTATGTATTATACTAGTCCCCATTAATGTTTGATACCTACATCTAATAAAAAAATATTTATATTACTGTGCATTTTTTTATTGTTCATTTTCTAACGTAGTGACAAATGAGGTGGAAGTTAGCTAGGTACTACTAGTTGCCTATATTAGTTCACATTTGTAATACTCCCTCCGTCCCAAAATAACTATCGTTTTCGTTTTCCGAGAAACAACTTTGCCTAAATATATTTTAAAGAATACTAATATTTATAGTACATAATTAGTATCATCAGAAAGATCTTTAAATCTAGTTTTTTAACAAATTTATTTGGAGATGCAAATATTACACGCATTTTTTACAAATCGAGTCAAACTTGTAGCACAGAAACCCAAAACGACAGTTAATTTAGGACGGAGGGAGTATAACTTATTAATAAAAGTTCGATATTTGCTTAAGAGACCAAATAAGAGTACTATATTAGTTCACATTTGTAATATAACTTATTAATAAAAGTACGATATTAATAAGTTATATTTACTTCAGCCCCAAGAGTCATTTCGCATACAGCTTAACACCGTTAGCCTATCAAACTAACGAAAGGACTAAGAAACCAAAGAAAATTCATTTCAGGGCCAAATAAGCAAGTTTGAGAAAAAAAAGACCAAAAAACTAAGCAACACTTTTTTAGGGCCAAGGAAATAATTTCCTCAATGATCATCTCGTTGTATCGTCGGAGTTCAGGTCCTAGGTTGCTGTGGTGACGTCGACCTCTACACGTGGCTTAGGCAAATGATCAAAATTCAGTTCTAGAGAGCATGAGGTATTTGTGGAGTATGAGTTGTTAGTTTTAATTGATGCTTCGTTTGAGTTGGCTTAGGTTTGAAGTTGGTCTTTGTATTGAGTTGTACGAGGAAATTTGTGTGATTTTTTTGCTCAATTTTCACTTAAAAACTAAACCACCACTTATTTTATTTTCTCCCTTAAAAATTTTACCATCCTCTTGGAAAAAAAATAATTTTGACTTTCGTTGGCACAAGTTCGAGGCTATATGGTGTCCCTTGTGACCTCACTGTCACAACAATTAGCTACTTGCGTGCTGTAGTATTGCATCATTATTGCATTTCCAGGTCGATGCATGATTGCCTCTCATTTCAAGAACTTGGTCCGGCATTTCCACGCATCATCTTCTGGTGACTCGGATATTGTTAAAGTACTGATTGTGACCTTGTTGGGGCCATGGTGTGTGAAATGAAGTTCTTGCCTTTTGTACATTTCGTTTTCGTTTAGTGCTATTACTAGTGCAATGGACGCGCCCTTGAACACGTCGAGTAACACTTAACAGAGTAGACATAGTTAAAAAAAAAGAGTATACGTGCTGCAATGTTTACAACTGTCTTGTCTTCTTTCCATACAACCTCAAAGACCACCTGAATGATCAGATCAATATTCCATAATTCGTTGAGATCCAACCACAGTTTCGAAAAAAATAACATAAATGAGGTCATTATGTAAACCTATCGTAGGCCAAACACTGCAATAACATGAAAAAACAATATTGGTGGTTCGCTGAACATCCTGTGGTAGATAATAATTCGTTGCATAAGGTAACAAATGTAGGTGTCCCAAGTAATTTCAAAGTTACACATTCATGTACAATTATCATGTGTCAGATTCATGATCCCATGAGTCCTTAAGAGTTTAATCCCATACAAATCCAGCCTATTGGGTGTTCGATGAAACACCTTGGCGACAATTATCATATTCGCTTAACTTATAAGCCGTACTTTTTCAGTCAACGAATAATATTTTTCTCTCACA